GGAAAAGTCAGGGGATCAACAAAATCTTTGGGTTTCATCCTTTCAGGATCACGAAAGCCTGGACAAAATTAGGTCCCAATCCATCTGACGTCGAGATATTTCACTGGATAAGTGAAAGCTTTGATGTGAGGAGGATCACTTAAGTCTTGAGGAGTGATCCTCTGGGAACTATGGATATACAGTATGTATCAAATTGCATTTCAGTCCATTTAATACTTGTCAAGACATTTCACTAAAAACCAAAAGTGTCAACCCAAAGCGGACAACCAAAGATACCAAAAGAAAGTGAGAAGGCAGGAATTGAAGGGATTGATACAAATTAGATAAGCTCAATAAAACCGACAATTTCAGAGAAGTGAAAGGTTTGAAAGGTATAACAGCTCAGACTTTATTATTGAACCTCAGTGTCTCAGCTCCCACAACCTGCGAGGTGTTTTTCTGCTGGTGACAGTGTGTTGAGGGACGGGTGGTGGTGGTGGTTGTTTGTGGCGGGTGGCATAGGTATCCCGCACAGGATTAGAGTCATGCTGTTGGAAGAGGAGGAGGAGGAGGAGAAGAAGGGGGGTAAAATGGAGGGAATGCCCCAGAAACACAACACCGCCTGACACATATGGAATGGACTCTTTGCAGCTTGACTGAAACACGGCTGCCAGAAAGAGAGAGAGAAAAATCTGCAGAATCCCATCTTCCCCACAGGCAAGCATTGAGTCTGTGAAACAGAGCTGTGCATGCAGGTCACATGTACATTTTGCCTGTAACACAAGTGACTTTGTCAGAGTTGCCCCACTTCATGCCTTCTCTTCAGTCAGGACTTTGAAATGGTCAGCAGAAATTAACGTAAGCAATCTTTGATTGAAAAAAGAAAATGTCTATAAAGTTTGTGCCAACATTCAGCATCTTCAGCGTTTATGTTCCTGTGACGATTATGAATTCAGATGTAAATTGGTCGAATACTTTTGGCAAGTAGTTTGGTCCAGAACAAGATGCATTATCCTGACCATTTGCTTCATGCAGTTTTTCTTTTTAACAAATACAAATGTCTTCTACACATGCACATTTTTTTTCCACATGCACAAACTTCAGTTTCTTATGCAGATTTATTTTACAGGTTCACAAAGGTTGATTCACAGTTTCAAACTTTGGAATTTGAACATCCACAAGTTGTTACAAGTCGTCATGCCCATGACTTACCATTTCTTGCTGGTTGTAGGGGACCATAAGGTCTGAGGTGGATACTGGCATCCCTAGGAAAACACATAAATAAAATGAATTTCCATTGAAGGGCAAACACAGATATTTTAATCAGCTCTTAACAACACATACTGGGACATACATTTATTTTTACCTATGATTAATTTCACTTAACTTAGTCAGGTCCAAGTTATGCAGGAAGCTCCCTCAGTCACAGCTCCAGTTATTAATACTGACAGTTGATTTCTTCATGTAAACAAGAAGGAAGTTCAGATGGAACAATAACAGTACGACACCTTCTTCCTGACACTTTAGGACAGCTGTAGACATATCAACAGCACCTCTTACATTGGTCCTCACACATCCTACATCAAGTTAATCTACCCCGGTGTATAGACTCTGACTCACGAGTATTATTGTCTTAATCTCAGGATAATTGTATCTTTGATGTGCATTTAAACCCCATTAATGCTAAGGACTTTATTTCCTAATGAAATAACACATTATTGTTGTACAGTATTACACACAGAGATAAAAAGGGGCTTATGTGAATTTGTGAAGATTATGTGTTCTGTTCCCAGCTAAAGCCATGAAAATAACAGAATCCCAGCAATTGAGATGCAATGCAATGTGGCAAACAAATTGCAATAGAATTACTCATGGCCTAATCTGTGAAAATATTAAATTAACTTGCTGAGTGTGAGAGGTCAGAGAACAGTTAAAGGATGAGGTTGGAAATATTCTATATTTCTATTAATATCGACAGATCTCATTAAAAGACCAAAACCAGCAATGTCTGTCTCTGAGTTCTTTCTGAGATAGGTTAGAGTCTGACCTCTGACCACAACACATGGCATTAACCCTCCGACCACGGGACAAGCACTTGAGTTGAAGCGTAGTGACGCCTTGAGCAACTGAACACTCACGCAACAAGTAGCTGCTGCAGCACAGCAGAGCACTGAAGGCTTTAAATAGACCATCCTATAGCAAAGGGTGCGTTTATTATAGCTGCGGATTTGATTTATCGGCCTGAACTATAAAAAAAAAGAAGAAAAAAGTAACCTGTACTGTAATGAGGTGGAATAATTATAATTTATTTTTTTAAGTGAAGTGAAAGCCCCATTTTACAGTACAGTGGTGAGGAAATAGCATTATGATCTCAAGAAAGAAAACAAATGTCAAGATACACACAAGAAACTACAGAAAGCAAACGTGACATAAATTAAACACCGTAGACTAAACAGCACAAGGCAAACTGTATTATAGATTTAGCAACTATCTTATAGTTTTCTTTAATTAATAACAATAATCTTTGTATTTGGTATTACTGAAGGATAAAGGTGAGGGTGGAAATGTCAAAATTACAAATGCCCATAAACAACGTTGTTTTCCCTGAAATGACACGTCTCACACATTTTTTTTTAAAAATCAAACACATCGAGAAATATCAGAACATGCAAACCAGCACGGCGCTCCAAAACGCTCATCCCATTACTTCCCATGTATCCACTCTGTCATAATATAGTATAATGCTAATGAGTCAAGACAGAAAAACAAACAAACAAGAGAGATCTCCAGTCATCTACTACAAAAAAAAAGAGTCTGTGTCAGAGGAGCAAATGACGGCACCTCAACACATTTTCACATGGTTTCAAGGCGAAAACATTGTTTGCCCACTTTGAAGGTAAAATTGGCATAAAAGTGTTCAAGAGAGACATTTTAAAATATTGAAACTACTCTGCATTTAAAGTCTCACGACACTTTTCATGAACAAATGCAGTTGTTGTTGTTGTTGTTGTTGTTGTTGTTGTTGTTGTTGTTGTTGTTGGGAGTTGCGATGCTGCTTCAAAGACACGTTTGAGCTGTACACGGGTCAGAACGTTGCTAGAACACATCACTGCATGCAGAGCAAAAAAGAAAAAACGACAACAGCTTATATTTTTCATTCAGAGCCTCCGATCGGCCCGAGCTGTACCGAGCCTGAAAGCTGTACACCCTTCTCTAAAACCCCTCAGGGTTCGTCAGTGTTGGCCTAGAGAGCTTTACGTGAGAGGCTACCATAGACGAGAAGATCCTGGGTTCTAATCCACTGGCCGGTGGGGTGGTTTGTGAATGGAGTTTGCAAGTTTCCCCGTGTTTGTGCAGGTCCAGTTCACTGGAAACTGCTCTAACTCCACGTGTAGCCATTGTAACAGGCTTTTCCTTTCCACTGTTCTCTGCCTGCCGACTGTTTTTGCATCTCCAGTCGAACAGCGGCAGAAACTACTACAATTATGCATCGACCCGGACAACCAATACTTCCGTGGCTGTCCTGAGAGGGGAAGTAGTTTCAACGATTACAAATGGAAAGGTGGATGATGAGATTTCTCAGCATGTGGTAGAAAGAGTAAAAAGAATACAACACACAGTCAAACAATGTAGGAGAAAAAAACTCTTCCTCTCTCAGTCGGTATATAAACTTGTGTCCCATACTCACATAAATCTGAAAGAAAACTAGCAACAATATCCGCGCCACTTTGTAAGTTGCATAAATGACAAACAAAGTTGTATCATGATTAGCTCACGCACCACGCATCGTTTTTCTATCTTTATTTTATCTTTGATTTTATCGTTATCGGTAGGTTACGTGTCTTTACGAAGAATGTTCGGCTCTAGAGTTCACGACCTCACATCCTGTGAAACAGCAGACACCAGAGGTGTCAGGTTGGCGAGACGGATGTAAAGGACAGATTCAGGTGAACAGGTGAGGGGCTCGAGCCTGTTGGGTGAACCCATTCTAACTTAAACGCAGCCGCAGTGTCCGTGACACAGCGGCTGGTGTGTGGTTACCGCACAGCCTGGGCCTCAACGTTTCTCAGCTGCCTCTGCAGGGACAGAGAGCTGCTCCATTCATGAGCGGGACAGCCAGAAGACCCGCAGTAACTTGAGCATCACCGCTCCTTTCTTCTCTCCGTCGCAGACCCGAGCTCACCTCAGACTTGTCTCGTCTTTCTGCCAGGGCGCCTTGACTGAGTAACAGCCATGTGCTCTATGTTATCCCAAACACAATGCGTTTGTGCATCAGCCCGGGGGGGTGGGGGTGGGGATGGGGGGTTATCCCGGGATATTCAACCAGAGTCATGTGAAGGCGACTGGTCAGGAAGAAGAGCGAGAGAATGATTCTCATCAGCAAACTTATTCTGCTTCAGTAAAGCTCAGAAAATTACTTTTTTTGTCCACATAATAGTTATTTTATAACGCAAATGTGAACTGTACATTATTCTCAAATTCTTGGCCACAAGTTGAAAGGTCGCGTGACGACTAAGTGAATTCAGTCATTAAGGGTCGTTGTTTGCCACTGCGATGGAGTAGATTGGTTCAAAATGATCTTTTCACCCAAAAAGCATAAAAAAAAATTCCCTTCAATCCCAAACACCAATTATAAAGTGGTTTTAGTTTTAGAAATCAATGTGCAATTTGTGCATCCAATTATAATAATGGCAGCTGTTTTTTTTTTTTTTTGGAGAAAACATCTCGCACCACATCTGGATTTTGCATAAGATTTTTCATAAATGAGATGCAAATTATTTTCTTATCTTAAGCCACTTTAAGTGAAAAAATGTGCGACTTGCACTCAAGTTACGAACTGTGTGAATGTGGAACTCCTTTGTGCAAATATACTATTGTGTAAATTTGTTCAATGCGGTGGACAGCAAACATCCTTACATTCAAGGCTGAAAATATCAACCTGTTTTTAATCTAAAAAAAGAAAAAAAGAAAAAAAAAAAAAAAAAGAAAAAAAAAAAAAAAAAGAAAAAAAAAAAAAGGCTCAAGTCAAAGCTTAATATCCAGTAAGTGTCCATTATCTAAAAACCCTTAAGTCCCATTTATTTGAAGCCTGACTCATATATCTGAGGAGCTGCAGCGGCTTTTGACTTTGGGCACAACTAGAATCTCATCCCCATCTCGGATGCTGTAGGAGTGGAGGGCCCGGGGGCCGCACTTCAACTCCTCAGGTCCCAACACCGAGCACATCTCCCGGTTGATGTAGAAAAGCCGGATCCCGTTGGTGGGCAGCTGCAGCAGATCTCTGAGGTGTTTCTTCAGGTCGCCCACCGTCTGCTCCAGGCGGAGGCTGACTGCCTCCACCCTCTCCCCCCAGCGAACGTCCACCATGGTGCAGGGGGGGCTCAGGTCCACCTCTGCCAGCGGGGCCAGGTGACCATACTTGGACACAAGGATGTGGTACCTGGGAGAACGCAAGTGGGTGAGAAGATTACTGTGAAGATGTTAAAAATGCGAATAAAAAGAGAACAATCTCCGTTCATTCCAGTTCATCAACAGTGCACAACTGTTATTATGTTTCCATGAAAACTGTTCCCAAGTTTTGAAGAGAAACACTTATTCGCTTTCTCTCCAAGAGTGAGATGAGAAGACCGATGTCAATCTCTGCTGAGGCTGAGAGGCAATTAGCCTAGCTTAGCATGAGGACGGATATCTTTATAGTCACTCACCAGTTAACACACCGTATCCTCTTTGTTACAAGCAGAGATGTAAAAACAACACGTTTGGGCCTTAGAGGGAGTTACGTGCTCCAACCATTTAATGGCTATCAAAGCCAGACACGCGTCCCGACTTCCTGAAGTCTTACCGTCACAATGAGGTTGCCAGATTTGGTCTCATCATGCCTCTACGAAGACATTGTAGTTATGCACTTTCATTTACACTCTCTTTTTCCGCTCTTTATGATGGACTGTGATAAGAAGCATGACATATTTTGTCTACCATGCCTTTACTGCATTTTCTATTACCAATTAGCCAACTTCGGCTTCAGCCAAAAACTTTTTTTTTTGTGGTATTTCGGCTTTTTCTACTCACTTTTTTTTTTGTGTGTGTATGTGTGTGTGTGATTAAATTAAATACGGCAATGCAAACGGGCGGATGGAAACGAACCTTGTATGTGCTTAAGAGGCAAGAGAAACACTGCCTCTGCCTCCGCCTCTTGCTCGCCGTGAGAAAGCTCTCGGCCACCTCAAGGGAATGCGTGTTTGAGATAAGGACCCAGGAACGATTAAATAAAATCCAGGAGAAAAGGCCTGTGCTTTCAAAGCTACTGTAACAGCTGGGCCAATCAAAGCAATTTCCCTTCCCTCCCCCAAAACTCCTCCACAAAGCCGGTCCCCTTGGCCTGGGGTTTCTGGCTAAAACTTGTGGTGCACCCTGGGAATTCTCCTCTTGGGCCACAGCGCACAAAGTGCCATTCTAGGGAAAAGCCATTTAGCTAAAAGGCTTCATTTAAAAGGTGGTAAGCATGGTATAATGGGGCAAATAATGCTGCAGATAACAAGCCAGCATTCCACTTGTCTTTTCCAGCATTCTTCGATAATGGACAGTAAAGTAGCAGCAGAAACAACAGGTTTTGGAGCTAATTCAGAAAACAGAGAGTCCAGCCCAGATCTTAGCTGACTGTTTCCTCTCATTCCTCCAGATCTCCAGTTGAAAGACGACCTCCTTAAAGAAGGAGTTAAAATGTTCCTTTTCAGTCCCTCTCTACTTATTCTACTTTATACGCCGACTCTCAGATTTCTTCTTCAAACCGGCCGTTCTCTTTCGCTCTTTCCTTGCAACTAATCCTTCCTGTCCAGCCAACACATTTCATTCTTTATTTTTCTGTTTCCTATTTCCCACAACCCCTTCCCCTTTCCCCGGATTATCCACAATTCTCTGTTCATCGAGGTGTATCGGTCTCCATCAGTCTGATGTAGGTTTTAAGGTTGGAGCTGTTACTCAGAGTCCGATGTGTTCACCTGAGAGGCTGTGACCTTCCCCACAGCGCTCTGATCTCTCAGGGCAGCAGGGCCACAGCCCCATCCGAAAGGAAAGCGGATAGCAGTGTGTTCACTGCTTACCGAGCGTGTCCGACAACCCCCCCCCCCCCCCATAACACCCACACGCAGTCACGGTGATCCCTTAACCTCGGACCTACCTACACTGAGAATCTGGCTCCGAACCAAAACAGCGAGTGCGACATTTACCAGCAGGAAGGAAAGAAGTTTAAACGTGGGGCCGAACGTGGAGATAAAGGTAAAATGAACATGTCTGAAGGTCTGAGGATCGTTGCTGTGAAGTTTCCAGCTCCACGTGAAATCAGAAAACAAATCAATCTCTCAACTTAAGGTTGGTAAAAGTAGGTGTATATATATTTATTTAAAAAGTAAAAAAAAAAAATCAACCTGCTACTTCGTGTATCAGTTTTCCAATCAGAGAATTCCCGGCACAAAGGACTCATTGAGGAGCGAGAGACTGGTGGCATTGTTTCCCAAAGGTTAGTTTCCCCCAGTCAGGGACTACACCTTCCTTCACAAATCCCTCCCCAGCATTCAGCTGAGGTTAAGTGGAATGCAGTCGGTGAAGAGCGTGGGCAATTTTTTCCACCGCCTGCCGAGCCCCCCTGTCGAGGAGGGGGCGGAGCTTTCCCAAAAATCATATCACCTGCTGTCGATGCATTTAATACAAAGGATTGGTGGAAGCAAATGTTGACACTTGGTGCTGCACATTCTTTCTAATTTAGGTTATTAAAGACTGACAGAAACCTAGAAAAATCTATAAGCAACAATGGGTTTTAGAGCTAAAATGATTAGTCTATTAACTGACAAGGCAGAAAATTAATTGGCAAACATCTTAATAACTGATCTTTAATCGAGTAAAGATGACAAATATCTTCTCCAATGCGACGAGTCACTGAAAACTGAATATCTTTGTGTTTTGGACTGTTAGAAAATGAACCACATGGATTTTACGTCTATAAAAACAATGAAAAAAGACAGTGGGGCTGGTGGGCACGTTATGTAATGGGAGTGTGCCTGAACACATTAATTACATAACTTGTAATGTAATCAACTACCGCGGCAGATGAATGTTATTGGTCCTACAAATCTTCATCGAGCATGTCTCCTCTAGTTTTTGTTGTACCGTGAACATTTAACATCTGAGCGTTTAAATCTAATTAAAAACACATGATCCATCACTGAAGACACCCTCCTTTAAAATTAGGTGTAAAGTGAGACGTGTGTGTGTGTGTGTGTGTGTATAAGACATGCATACTGTGTGTCTGAGTACCTCTCAGGAATCTCCTGTTCTGGCCGGTCCTGGTAGTACCTGATGAAGAACCTCTCAGCATCCTCTCTCTCTCCTTTAGACACTGCGCTCCCATTCAGCACCACTACAGATGGCAGCCTGCAGGCAGCAGCAGCAGCAGCGGCGGCCCAAACATTATGCACATTTATATTTGAAAGCGATGATGATTACTCAGTAAATAAGTCAACATGCTCTCCTGCGTGTAAGTGGCAATAAGGATTTGATGTACGTTGTGTGTTTAGCTTTAGACTCACTGTGCTAAAAGGAGGCTGCGTCTCTCGTGGGTGGTGTAAGGCTGCAGTAAAGGAATCCCCATTACTTTGACTTCCTCCAGCTTAGGGAAGAAATTCAGCCTTTCAATGTCCTCCCATTTACTAAGCCCTGAATGACAGAACATCAGAGTTTTAGGGACACGGTGAATATTTGTTTACGCCACGCACTGAGCACAGTCTTCATCACCCCTCACACACCTGCGTTGTTGAGGTTGATGCTGCGCAGGTTGGGGTAGAGGTGCTGCAGCGTTTCCCGAGTGTCTCCCACGGAGTCCACGCTGTTATTGGCCAGCACCAGCGTGTTCAGACACGGGTACATCGCACCAAACTTCCTCACCTCTGCCCAATGCTGCAGCTGGTTGTCTGTGATCTGCAGGAGGCGTAGTGACGGACAGGGCGTCTGGGACTCTGACACGGTGGTGTAGCCGTTCAGACACAGGAAAAGCTCCTCCAGCCTGGAAGAGGAGGTGCGGTCAGCCAGGTTTCCTTATAGTAGGTGTGACAAAACCTTTTTCACACCAAATCTGCATTGATAAATTAGTATTGTGCTTGTTTGGAGTTTATGTTTCCTCTCCTGGCTCTTTACCCTGAAGGCTAATCTTATTCTCTTGTTAGTGGTTTTTGTAAACTTTACCTAAACACGAGTAAATTGTGCATTTGTTTGGGACTATTTTCAGCTGTGGATTAATACACTTTTTTGCTAGTGAGTAAGTACAGCAAGAGGATGCTGTACAACGTTTGTGGGTTTCACTAAAAGTAAAACTACAGTGGCCATGTTCATCAAAATGAAGCAACACGTCAACAGAGAATATCACCAGCCTCATAATTTGTCTGTGTTCTTATTAGTGTATTATTACATATTAAACACAAACATTTTGCTTCCTCTTACATTCAACCCATCAACAACACAACGATTCATCACTTACTCCGGTGTGTGTTGCGTGAGCGTGTGCACGGTGTCCCAGCTGACGTGTGTGTTAATAAGGACAAGTCGTCGGACCCTGGAGAAAATCTCGGCCATGCCGGGCTCCAGCTCCACGCCGTTCAGAGGGTTCCTGCTCAGGTTGAGGAAGTCCAGGTGGGGGATGTTGGAGACGATGGTGCAGATCTGGAAAACCCACATTAACATAATAGAATACAAAACGCAAAAAGAAATATTTATTTATATTTTTAGAACATCGTTTAAAGTCCTGTGAACGGAAGAGTTAAATACACTAACGTTAACTGACACAACAGTAAAATCACAGGCATGAATAATGAAATTTATAATAATTCAATTCCATTTAGCTGCTTCAGTTTCACGGTCCTGGTATTATGCATGCCGCCTCACTGTCACACTGTCGTAGTTTACCGGGACACTTGACTAGAACAGAGCGGTCATTAATGCCATTAGTAACACCTGTGCTTTTCATAGTACGACAAGTCAGAATACCTTCTGTGGAAAAGTCTCTTCTACATCATTCATCATTTAAAGCCTTTTTCACTGCAGACATTTTGGCGTGTCTTTGAAGAAAGAGCACATGTGGATTTAATAACATTATTACCGTCATCCTTTTCTCAGACCCCGTTATCGTGCGTGTTGATTCGCTGGCGTTGGTTACTGAGGCACTTCAATGGATTGGAGCGTCATTAATGTTATTAGAGTTAATTTTTCTTTGAAGCACAAAATGATCAGATCTTTTGCCACAGCAGCCAGAGATACCACACACTGAACCAGTGAACATCCCTCATGGTAAAACCAACATGCCTCTTTTTGCACAGATTTATTCCTGCCCCATTTTTTTTGCAATTACACATCACATGAGCTTATTTGTCTTGTCTCCCCCCTTTTCAAAGGAGAGTCACAAGACACACACTGTCCCTAATCAATCAGCCAATAATAAACTTAATACTAAAGGAATCAGGATGCCATCTTTATCTAGTCCTAGTCAAATTCCACTCTGCAAGGTCGTCTTGATTTCCGTGCAGCTAGTATGTGGAGGACACCCACCTCTCCCCAGTCATTCAGCTGATTGTAGGACAGGTCCAGCTCTACCACATGGGCACAGAAAGTTGCAATGTTTGACTTGTCACCAGCTTTACTGATTCCACAGTAATTCAGTACCAGCGCACTGGGCAGGAACAGGCGATCTGCCAACAGGGAAACTGATGTCAGATCAGATCTTAAAGACATTCAGGAGCTTTGCACTTTTATCCTCTGTGATATGTCAAAAACATCTGATGATGTAGGGTATCTTAACCCTGACGTGGTCGCCTGCGTCATCTCTCACCCTTGACAGGGGATCCCGGAGGGCTGGGCAGAACCACGACTCCCAGGCCTTGGCCGTAGGGGAAATTCTCTGGGTCGTACTTCTCACTGAGGACTTGGACGAAGGTGCGCACCTCCTCTTCGTCAGAGGATGACTCCATGGTTCCAGCCCTGAGCAGGTATCTAAGGAAGAGACAAAGTCGTTGTGGAGTCAGTACCACAGTTACACCAGACCCTGGATCAGCCATTAGGCTGATTGATGATTACATACACACTTTTCCTGAGTGTGCTTTTCATCCTCAAGCACATTTGTTCCTACTGTTCCTACAAATCTTTAGAAACACGTCAGGAATATATGATGGTATGCTTCGAGTCTAAAAATAGCCACATACCGGAGTTTTTAGTGAACATAACTCTAGCATGAGGTATTTTATTTCTTGGGGACTATTTTTAGCAGCGGACTCGACACACTGGTGAGTATTTATGGCGGCACGTGAGATCAAGTCAAAAATAAACTACAGAGGACGTGTTCGTGGTGATGAAGATGTTGTCCAGCACAATGCTGTGGCTCACTGATGCGTTTTAACAGCAACAATGGAGCAGAGAGAGAAACGCTACAACAAACTCGGGCCACACGGACACTACATGTTTGTACAATCAATTCATTCTTGGTTTTGGTTTCTTTAGGGAATTTGTTGACAATGAGAAGAACACAGAATATCACCAGACTCATTGTTTAACATCAAATGACTTTAAAGGGTATTTAAACAACATCAACAACAAGTGAGAGGAAAATAAAGGTTTTTTTGTCCATTGCTGCAGTGAGAGGATTTACTCATCCAAACAATGTGACAGAAATAGATTCTATTTCTATTCTATTTGTGCTTCAATCTCATCTGTTCTGTGTCTACCCCTAGCTGTCTCTCCGTCCCTCTCTCCCTTCATGAGCTACAGCCATCTCTTCCTGACCCTCTCTTGCTGCTGGCTGACGCCTGGAAACATTCAAAACAAATTAATTGGACAGCAAATCCCTGTGATCAGACTGATCGGGCTTTCTCACGTGTGTTTTCTTCACACGTGTCTATTTACTCTGTTTAATAATACTTTCTAAAGAAGAATAAAGAATATAAACTAGTGAGCTTGCAGAGACTTACTGGACTGATTCAGAGTAAAAACGACTGATAAGGCTAAACAGATTGTATAAGATTATATGCAGGTTTCTATGTGTGAGGACCTGCCAACCAGAGACCACTGCCGTCCGCTGTCAAACCATTTCACTGGGTCTTCTCGCTCCCTGTTTGCAGACAGCTTTCTTCTGTGTTTGGTTCTTTTCTGTCCACGTGTTGGATAAAAGCTTCTAAAAATAAACCCACCGTCATCATCGTAGTATAACCCACAAGACACAGCGGCAGAAACGTGAGAGGCAAAGCGGCACTGACAAGAGCAGATGCACAGCTGACACTCATGCACGTGAAGCTGAGCCACCTGTTCTCTCTGAAAGTCATTTTCTGTAGTGCTGAAACAATTAGTCGACAAACTGAGAGCAGAATTAATCATGAGCTATTTTAATAATCACTCAATCTCTTGAGCAAACTTGGGAGAATTTAACTTTTCTAATTTCTGCTGCCTTTCTCTATTCTATTATTTTATTCATTCTATTATTGTAACATGAATATATCTGAGTTTTCTTTTTTTTTTTTTACTGTTGTTATTATCAATTAATGAACATCAAATATGCTTCTGCAGCAACACACAGAAACAGAGAAAACTTCAGAAACCATTCTGACAGCCTGGCAACTATTTCTAAAACTTGCACGGCTCAACAGCGGAGGAAGAAATAGCATAAGACTGAGTTAAAGCAGTTCAGTCTCCTACAGTTTCCTACTTTAATGCATGCTACATGAATGTATTAGTGGACGAAGACGATTTGCATTGATCACTTCTGCAGTAGTATGATTTTCGGATTATATCAGAACATATATCGTTGACGCTGATCGTCTGTTCGCACACAGCACACAGGTGCTCTGGACTCACGACCCTGATCAGCCCTATCATTTTCAGACAAATGGGGTCTGATCATCTTAAACTCGGCCCACCTGAGGTGGTGCGGCTGCCAAACGACTGAGCGTTGCGTCCGGACTCTTTCTGATGTTTCTGTCATAGATAGTTTCTCGTTACACCAGATCTTCAGTTTCTTACCTCTGATGTAGCAGAGACCAAAGGGAGAGCCTGATTTCAGCAACACATCAGATCACATGCCTCCTCCCCTGATGAGAGAAAATGTTGATGAGAACTTTGATGATGAAGATGATAAAGCAGAAGAACATTAAAAAAAAAAAAAAAAAAAGAGCTATACTGAGTTTGGGAACCAAAGAAAGCTCATTTACATGCATGTAAGTGAAAGTGTCTTTGACAACTTTGTGGTATATGAATGGAAGAAAAACTGCACAGGAAGACAGCCCTTACTCCACATCAAAGGCAGAGAAACTGGAAACAGGAAGTGTAGAGTGACAGCTGGGTTCTTGATAAAGGCAAGAAAACAACAACAACTGACGATATTGTAGCTGAGGTTCAGTCCAGCCCAACATCATCTCTTTCAAAAAGGTCTGATAAACATATGTCAGTCCATTACAAAAACCTGCCCATATAATGTTACCTTTACCTTTGTTGCCACTGATGGGTTACGTCCTCATTGATAACCTTTAGTTTATAGTTATAAGCCCAAGAAAATGCATTTTCCAAAGAAAATTATTGTTTGAAATGTTCAGCCTTTGTTCAATTCATGGCTTTAGTTGTTTTTCTTGATAAATTTAAACTTTTTGTTTACCACTGCTCGCTACTGCCCTCCGCGGGCTAGTGGCAAAAAAATGATCAAACCGACGAAAATAGTCCCAGTTTTACAGAAAACAGCAAATACCATTCATTGCTACATTAATGCCGAATGTATTAGTGGACCACAAAGATTCATAAAAGCATAAAAGTCTTAGTGTTTCTGTTGCACGCATTTCATGAAAAGCAAAACCATTTTTAAATAGACGAATTTTTCAACGGGATTCCTCGAAAACACTGTTCAAGCCGCAGAGCACGGCACGTTTGGGGGGCTGTTTACGACCGAGGCCTGGCTGCGTAATGTCGCCCGTGCAAAAACCAATGAAGAAAAACAACAAACCGAGACTCGACACTTTGACAGCAGCCGAGAGGTGACATTTATTCATTTCATTGGCACAAAGGCTAACGACAGCACAGTCAACCTCGGAAAGTGTGCAACACGTTAAAAATGCCAGGTTGTGCAGCCGTGTGGCTAACTTTACCTTCACACATCGATAGAGGTACTGACACTTCGGTGGCTGCTAAAAATAAATCAAACCATCGTCATGACTTCCCACTATCACCATATGCAACTATTAATGGTGTATTTGGTAACTGGTAGTGTATATTTTGAAACAGTCGCACTCACCATTCCCGGAACCCCCTTGGTGTTCTGTTTGTTATTGTTGCTCTTAGGTTAGTTGACAGTTTAAGACACGCCCACTCCACCGGAAATGACGTTATTTAAATGTCTTCTTTTTTTCCCCTTCGTCTTCTTGCCCTACATTTTTTTATTTTTTTCAAAACGGGACAAAGAAAATAATTAAGACATACAAATACCACATGTACAATTTAGTTATCGGTTAAATAATAAAAAATAAATAAAATGAAAATATATATAATAGGATTTCTGATGAAGCTGGAAAATGTTTTGACTCCTGCCAACTGCCCATGACATCAAACATATACAATATTAAAAAAAAAATCAATATATAATATAATAAATATATAATAATTCAATGAATCAATAACATCCCAGTATATTCTCCCTGTTGCTTGGCCCCTTAGAGTGTAAACCTAGAACAACAGTTACTGTACACATTATGATGTGTTATTAAAATTATGGCTATCGGTGCTTTAAAAATAGATTATGTCACTTTTTCTGAGCACTACTGTGGTCACAAGTCACAATAACAGTATAACAATAAAATGTGGATACATCATGTAGTCATCAAACATCAGTGAAGGATCTATGTAGGATCTAGGATCAACAGTATCAATCTTAGGTTTGCACCTAGTTAGCGTTTGCCACCTTGAGCTACTTGTCATATCAGATCAAGCTAGCTGTAGCATGAGGCTGTGTTTTATTTCTTATTATTTTTTTATTTGTAAAATAAAGAAAATAAAGTTCTTTCAAAACTTAGTCTCACATTAAGCTGCATTTATGTAAAATCTTAATTTTTCAACTAAAGACATACATTTAAAAAATATAATACAAATAATAATTGCACTGCCTCTGATATGAGTGTTTGAATGAAAATGCTCTGGTAAACTGTACTTAAATACATTAGGCTATAAGTAGATATGCTTGTTATGCTCCCTCCCTTCCCCTGTTAAGGTACATTTATGAGTTTAAATGTAGGGTGTGATGAGAAATGTCTGACAGTAGAGTTCCAGCTGAAGTGGTGCATTTTTATCAGTCACATTAAGATAAGCAAATAACCTGATATCATCATACCACTGTAACAGTTGGATTGGAAATACATTTATGTATAAAACTCAAATTCATACAAGCAAACCAAATCCAGTCGGTAAAAAAATGAAACAGTTTTTAGATGGGAGCGCTGTGGTGTTAAAAGACTCTTCATAAAAGGAGGCAATTTAACAGGTAATTTGAACACAACAGTTGAAGCCATTAGGTTTTTATGAAAAAATAATTGATCTCTTAATTGTCATATAAACAGTTACTAGGTGAAATTGGAAGAAGCTGAATAAACACGCCATCATTTGATCAGAAACATGTTTGTCAGATTGATTTGAATTCATCCATTTTACTTCATTTGTCCGACTGTTTTCTTAATTTTGAAAGATAACAGAAATACTGTATGAGCCGTTTCATTGGAGTAGAATGAGCCTTTTGCTGCCACCAGGTGGCAGTCATGTATATGTTGTGGTTTAAATAAATGTGGTGATGTACAAATAATGGACAACTGGAACCTGACAAGTGGCCCAGAGTTGATAAACACTGGTTTTTATGTGGATTGTATTTTAAGTGTTCATTCTATTTTATTTTTATATCTTATTATTTTTTATCATTATATTTATCTTAATAGAATTATTAGCATTTAGTTTTGATTAGAATCAAAACACAGGTTTGTCATGTCACCACACTCTCATTCACTCAGACACACTGACGCTCATATAAACAAGCATATTTACTTATCATTACAACGGCCTCTATGTCTGCAAGGGGGTTAAATCCTGTTCACTCTTCGTCCTCTGCGAGACATATAGGTAAGTGTGTAAGTGCTGACATAAACTTGCCCTCCCTGATTCACTGTTATCAGCTGTAGGCACTGATTTATGGCGTCTTGAGCACTTAAATGTGACTTGATGTGATTTTCTTCTTAAATGATCAATTTATCAGTATGTTTATATAATGTGTTCCTTCCTTAGAAATGTAAGTAGAAAGAAACCACCTGGAAATAATACCATCCCTCTTTTAGTAGTCATCTATACATGCTGTAAGGCTGACCCATCAAACAGCGTTCAACTCAATTCTGCCATGTTCATGTCTGTGAATGTGTCACGTCTGCGATAGCCTCATTGATCAAGCGTTGACAGCGTGACAGCGAGGCAGCGTGCACAACACCAGGACCCTGAAACTGAAGCATTGATTTGACTTTAAATTATTTACACCTGGTGATTTTCCGACTGTGACACGTCAAAATATCTTCTGTGAAAAAGGCCCGTTTTCCTGATCTCTGACTGAGCAGACAGGTCATTTTAAATGTTTATAGTAACTTACTGACTGCACACCATGCAGTCAAGCAAGTTCAATTTCTCAACTGCAGGTGACGGCTCTGCAGAACCTGGCAGCGTCTCCCAGGATGAGGCTGGGACAAAGAGGAGTAAGAGGAAGGGCGGCTGTGACAGGGAGGAACCCGGGGAGAGGAGAAGGGTCAGCGGTCAAAGCTCTGCAGAAGGTCAGAGGTCAAATAATACCGCACCTTCTCCCTCACGGGACATCCATCACAGCTTCAGGGACCCTTCATCTCACAGCGATGTCACGCTGTCAGGAAACAGCATCGGCAAGTTGATCATTTTGATAATTCATTTGAATAGAGACAAGTCCGTCATCAACGCAGCTGGGTGTCAATGCAGAAAGGATTCATCATCACGAGGAGAGGCAGTACGGTTGTCGCCAAATGTCCTTTGGTGGGCCGACAAACCAAGATTGCACTCCTTAAAAACGTCTGGTTCTGGAGAGACCAGTCCCCTGTGTGGACCTCAGACAGTACCTCAGGGAAAAAGGAGGCTCGCTGCAGGAGCACGAGGCTAAAGTGAGCCGCTGGGAGTTGTGTGTGTGTGTGTGTGTGTGTTTCTGTGAGTGTATTGGGTGGATATATCTCTCTTTCTGCATCAGATCATGATGCGGCAGCTGGTGGAAGCGGCCACTGAGCTCCACTCCAAACACGTCTTTCACTGCGACATCAAACTTGAAAACATTATAGTAGAAACAGGATCCGATGTCCCGCGTGTTCATGTAACCGACTTCAGCTGCGGCTGCGTTGCAGGGGAAGGATATTATCGCCTCTTCTCGGGTACAGTATGTCGTCTAGCTTCTGCTGCTTCACTGATCTCTGGAAGAAAGAGGTGAACGTTTAGAAAAGCTTCTTAATCTCCTCCTCCTCCCTTTTCCACTCTGTTCTCTATTCCAGGTATCCCCGAGTACGCCCCTCCAGAGTGGTACAAGCATATGCGCTACAAGGCTCGTCCCACCGCGGTGTGGCAGCTGGGAGTGGTGCTGTACGGGGTGCTGGATGGACACGGATCATTTGACACCCTGAGGTTCCTCCGCAGAAAACTCCCCATCAGCAGTGAGCTGTCCCAAAGTAATGATGCACACACACACACACACACACACGTGCGGTTTGAGTGAAAGGAAACAGCCACTCTCTATTATGTGTCTCTATATATGATTATCAGAACATATGTTTGATGTCCTGAAGGTTTTACAGCTCATCAGACTCCATTAGATTTCCATCTGTTTTAAGATTGTTTTACCTTTTCTGGAGAGGTAGCTGTGTGAAAATACATTTACACAGTTTAGAGACACTGCAGTTCCAAAAACTGTTCTTGGGGAAAATATCCGAACATCAAGAGGAAGCTATGATTTAATGTATTATTGGACTAGTCATTAATCGACACAGTAACAGCTTGTCTCTTGCTTCCTGCTCAGATTGTCAGGAGTTGTTGCGGATGTGTCTGTCCAAAGTCCCAAAGCAGCGTCCCACCCTCAAGCAGCTTCAGCACCACCCATGGCTCCAATAACAGCCCATGAATGTGAACCACTGGGTTGACATCCCAATCCAGAAGCTGAGTTTACCTAAACAGCAGTGACTGAGCCACGGTTAGGGTTAGTAAAAAAAAAAAGAAAGTAGACAAAAACGTTGTTTCATTTAACTATGACCATAATCTCTCCCTCACCAAAACCAAGCGGTTGTAGACTTAACCATACATGAACCACAGAACATCTGTGGACCGGAGCCAGCTGCTGACAGACAAACTGAGACAGAGGAGCTCCGGCTTCACTGTGGGTTTTTGAGTTTATTTGGCATGACATAATTCCACTTTTTAAAATAACTCTTTGTTGTATTTTCCAGCCTTAAAGAAAAGAACAGAGACAAGGACAAATTGACCCAACAAGCTCGCCTTTGGTCGTTATCGTTTATGTTCCTTTTTGAGTATCCACTAAAATGTTTCCCTAAGTATTGAAAACTGTCCAGTGTTCAAAACTTGCATTGAATACTCAGGTTTTTAGTCTTTTACTTATTCTTTAAGAGAAAATTCAGGAACTTTGGTGATTTTAACCAGTACTTTATAGTTTTTGCTTACCTTTTACACGAGGCAGAAACAGGTCAGCTCTTCCTCGCCCCTCGTGTTGTCTATGGGGTTACACTTAAATAAATCAACGAAGGCACGAAACTATCATCACTATCACTACCATCTTTCCTCATGGTGAGCTGCATAGCCAACACCAAAATGTGTCTGACCTGCAACCAAAGACATCTGCTTCAGATTTCCTTCTCTGATAGCAGCAGCAGCAGCAGCAGCAGCAGCGACTCTTTCCAAGATTAAAGGACCCCCCCTCCTTTATAATTGGTGATCAGAGCTGAGCCACTGCCCTCAGAGCTGTGCACAGGAAAGCTGAGGCTAAAAGGCATCATCAGCTTAATTACATGCTTTCTCTCTTCGTCTAACATTTCACCTGTGCACGGATTTATTCTTTTCTTTTTTTCCTTCACAAACCAAAAGTGACTGGTTAAACCAACCTTGCATATTATTACTTTGTACAGTCGATGTTTCAAAACGACTTCCTGACAAAAAAAAAAGCTTTCTTTAGAAAAAGCAAATTGAATCAGTCTTTGGTGAGATCACATATCTGAGAACGGCAAATAAAATGTGAAATACACGCAGTAGATGATTAGTAACGCCAGTAGTTTACATCATAAACAGCACACTGCAGCATATTAATGGAGCGGAGCAGAACATATGCAAGTATTAAATGTAAATCTGTCAGATCTGTCGCTCATTGTGACCATAAGGTTTGATACGATTCAACAGAATACATTGTCAGATTAAATGTTTTCTAAAGCGTCTGTTTGAAGGACTCTGGAGGAAGATGATGGATGCAGATCACAAACACTCCCGTTTTTTTTTTTTTCCGGGAGACTCCCGTATTTCAAGGTAATCTCCCGGCGTCGCCCCCATTATGTCATTTCTCCTGGGAAACTCCCGTAATTTGCACGGCAACCCTCAACCTTCAATATAAGTAATCATTATACACGGACCCGTACATTTGGTACGTTGAGTTTGTCTGATGTTATCCAAGTCGCCAGATTGTGTTTGAAACTCAAGATAGACACACAATCCACACACACACAAACAATTTCAACCCATCTGTTACCACAACTCTGTTCAAGTGGGGTGTGTGTGTGTGTGTGTGTGTGTGTGTATTTGACTGTGGAATTAACTGTTGTTAAAAGAACAAGTTAAACAAAATTTGATGCTAATTTTTTGTTCATGTAATGTTTAACTAACAACACGTTAGTATTAATTGACATGTGATGTATTTAGATTAAAAAATGTAAATGAATCTCAAAACAAAGAAAAGAAAAAGCTGGTTGGCAGGTATGCAAACGGCTTCTATTACACACTGAAGTGAGATGTCTGCGGTGGTAGGCGCCGGTCCAGGTGTTTAAACCACTAGAACAAACTGAGCGAATCCTGAAAACAAAAGGCAATCTCTCCTGGAGGAGCTCTCTGCAGATACACAGTCGACAGCCAAGCTGGTTTACCTGTCTGATACATTTACCACAATAAAAACAGCCCCACTGCCTTCAGACTGGCCGGCTTCATGGGAAAATAAAAGCAGGGTTTTAAACAAGGTGAAGACGAGGAGCACAAATGTAAGAAAACACTGGTTCTCAAATAAGAAATGTAAACGATCGAGAGTGACTCATCTGACAAAGGAGAGTCTGGTGTTTTCTCTGCAGGTTATAAAAAGGAAATGATGTCATCAGTGTATCCCAGAAACCCCTGGAAGACTCTCATAACTGACCTGGGGACTCTGCTACAATCGGGCTAATCCTCGTGTTGTTATTTCAGTGCTGGGATTAACTTGTGGAAGCTGGCTGGAGATGTGCACAGAAACGAACGGGACAGGGATCACACCAGTTCAGTTTACCAGCATCTAATATGAGGATTCAGGTACATAAACAAGGTATGACTCATGGTGTGAGGGTCAGGAAGAAAAAGAATCAGTCCAGAAAGAAGGAGGAAGATGAGACAGGATGAGAGGGCGTGGCCAAACACTCTCACTAATCCAGAATGATCCTGTGAGTCAGACTCTGTCCCGGTCAGAGACAGAATAATCTGCCAGGCCCTCGCTGTCTGTGGACAGAGGGAATATAAACCGAGGCAGGAGAGGCCAAAACCACACGCTGGATCATTTGGGCTTGTAAACACCAAAATCTAAATTCCTCCTTTTGCTTCTACTGGATTATCATCATCATCATCATCATCATCATCATCATCATCATAAGTGCAGCAGCTAAAAATGGCGCTCATGAGGTCAGGCTGGCTGTGGAGACAAAGTGAGTGAACACAGGATTTTTTTTGCTTGTTTGTTTTTACAGGTTTACACCAAAGAATCTTATTCATTTAAACTAGTGCTAGTGATCAATGTCATTATAAACTGTGGGAGTTTTTTTTTGTTATTATTGTTAACTTTTTATTTGTTTAGACAAAATAAGCAGATGGGCAACAGCTCGGGAGAGAGAGAGAGAGAGAGAGAGAGAGAGAGAGAGAGAGAGACTCGAACTGGGGGACATTGTGGTTCATAGTCAGCACCTGAACGCGCACACGCCACCAAGGAGCTGCGTTTTCTATTTATAGACAAAAAAAATAAAATAAATTTATTGAACATGAAATTAATTATTAATCCTGAGAAGCCACTGAAATTTCTTTGTAAAGTTTAAACAGTATAGATCAAAATTGAGAACTAGTTAATAGCAAACTCACTCTCTGCTTCTCTTTTTTTTTTTTAAATGACACCTCTGAGGAGCTTTTGGATCAATGATTATATTCTCTACTTTGTTTTTTTTTTTTTTAGTAGTAGACTGAAATGTTTGAAGAATCAACCATTTGATCTTCCAGTTATACAACGAGCTCTCCAACCACTAACAGCTTATTATATCTTCTACTGATGAAACAAGGCCGATATCGATATTTAAGGGTTCAAAAAATAATCTGCCTACAATATATCAGCTGTTTCATTCTTTTAAATCAATAAACAAATAACAAGCTCAAACATATAATTAGCATTCCTGCACTGCAATTTCTTGTTACTTATGGGTCGGCACATAAACCAACACCAATATGTGATGAGCTAATATCGATCAATGTACCATCTTATCAGTTTACTTCCAATATGTGCAGCTGTTTACGTGTCAGTGGGATTTTATCACCTGACGTTCACCATTCAGTTTGAACACTGAGGAGGAACGTGTCTGGATTTCATGTGCCGGAGCATTTTTCTAGAAAGTGAAAAGTGCACCTGTTATGAAAGTCTAACCTTTGTAATTTATAATCCCATTAATTGTCCCTGGCCATGTCTTTAAGTGGCTTAACAAGGTTAGGCAATGGGGATGTAACTGCTGGAAAAACACTGCACACACACACACACACACGCACAGAAAGAACAAAACAAAAACAAAGAGTGGGCTGATGGATGGGATCTTACAGTATAAGGATGTTTAACCAATGAACACTCCTTCATCTTATCGAAACAGGGTGAAGCTCTGTAACTTATCTTGTTCATTTTCCCCAGGAAACTTTATATCATCAGTGGAGAAATCGTTTAGTAAAGATCTTACATTCCCATTAAGGTTATTGATCATGGCGCTGACTCAACAATTACTCATCACCCCCATAATCTAAGGTCAATTTGAGACCCCCCCCCCCCCACACACACACACACACACACACACACACACACACACTCATTTTGCTCCACAGGCCCCTGAAAGACAAACAGTAATGTTACACTAACATGTGTCTCTTCTCTAGCTTCTGTGTTAAAGCGCTGGAAGTTAAACTGGTGTGATCTTTGGATCGATGGGAGCCTTTGCTTCTACAAGACTGACAGCAGGCGGGAGCTGGAGCACCGCGTCAGGCTCAAGACCACATGTGTAGATGTGCGGTCCGGTCTGGAGTGTGGAGGTACAATGGGCTACAAACCCCTGCACCCAAAACCGTTCCATCACCATACGAATACTCCAAAGCTCCAAACCCTAACACAATGTATGATGATGACAACATGCTCCCTCTAACTGCAGGTGTGACTCCACCAGAGAGCAATCCCAGGGAGAATCTCATCGTGGTTCAGCTCAGAGACGGCTCGACGGTCAACCTGTGTGCCAACAGCGAGGACGAATCTATGTATGTGCTCCCTCTGCGCTCTCGTCTGCCCTTACATGTGTCCATCAGTTCTTCATACGTGTTCATTTCTTTTTTCTTTTTTTTTCCAGAGCGTGGAAACTGACTCTGCTGGAGACCAGGAGGAACCCGGTGAGTGATCCGTGTTCTCTGCGAGAGCTGAGACATGGCGGCGTTTCCATCCCAGTGCTTAATAACACTGTTTCCTTCCTGTGCTGTAGGTGTTCACATATGATCCATATGACGACTCCTACCAGGCCGTCCCCCTCAACAGCTATCACACTGTCTACATCACACCCGGAGCAGGACCAGGTATGTTACCATAGTGACAACAGATGTCAGCTGCATTATTAAGTAAAAGCAGGTAAGAGTACTAGTAGGAATCAAAGCTGTGGCTATTTCCATTGAGGACACTGAGGTCACGTCCTTGGCATTTCTTTCTGGGATTTACAAGCTGATTTGCCAGTGTTGGAGGAAGTATTCAAATCCTTTACTAAAGTAAAACGATATGTTGTATTTTAAAATCATGTTATATTATCCAATGTGTAAAATCTTAATCCTAAATGTAACTAGTAACTAAAGCCGTCAAATAAATGTAGCGGAGTAAAAAATACAATATTTCCCTCTGAAATGTAGAGAAGTATAAAGAAGTACTGAAGTGCAGTACTTGAGTAAATGTACTTAGTTTCTTTCCACCACTGGCGGTTGCAGAAGTAGTGTGTGTGTGTGTGTGTATGTGTGTGTGTGTGTGCGCGTGTGTGTGAGATTGGGGGGGGGGGGTCGGTCATCTGTGGAGTTACAGTCAAACACATGGTGAGTATTTTAAGCCAATTGCGGTATTTGTGGACTCAACATATTTAATTTTGACTACCTCTGGGACAATAAAAAATAAATAGGCAAAGTCAGGAGGCTATTTTCCCCCCAATAGAATCTAATTACTGGAAGTGTGTGGAGAGGACTTCAAAGCAGCATTTAAAACCTCCATGTGGGAAAAATGCAAACAAAGCTTCAGTTAACTGAACAAATATAATATGAGAAATCATGGCTACTAAATTCTTTCCTCTAGCTCTGCTGGTGAGTGAATGCAGCACTTCAGTTATTCAAATAAGAGGTTTTCCATGTTTGTCTAATGGCAGCAATTCCATTAGAAGCACTTTTCTTTTTTGGAGGCTTGTGGGAAAAAAAAGCGTCCTCCTCTATGATCAATACATTAATCACATAAAATAATATCATCTGGAGAACATACACGCAACAGATTTACCTCCAGCTGACGGAGTTTAGCTCATCTTTCCCTGTACCTGCAGAACGTGATAATCCGGTGAAATGCAGCATCGCTTTTCCTCCTCACTGCTGTTCTTGCACCTGGCCTCGGACATGTCTGACAAACACGAGGCTTTGGCTCTGCACGTGTAGCCCTAATTCTAATTGTTGCAGCGTTGGATTTGTGTCAGAGAGCGTCCCAGACGGGCGGGGAACTAAATCAGTTGTGAAAAATGTTGATTCGACCGTTTTCAGTTATCCTCTGCCACAATACTAATAAGTTATATGTATATAAAAAAAGATAATGGTAAAGTAAAGTGCATTATAGGTTAAGTTTTATATTGGTTCACGTGTGTCAAGAAACACATACACATTAACTGGAACATCAACTGACCCCAGGTTTGCTATGTGTTAATTTCTTTGAGGTTGTTTGAGGTTGTTCTATGAAGCACAAATTGAATTAGGAATGAGCATCATTGAAGTGCATATCAACTGAAATAATAAAGGTATTTAACCTCAATTGTGACGCAGGATCCTTTTCACAGGCCAGATTAATCCACCACACTTTGTTGATGTAGGACTCAAAGGTCCAGGCTGTTTATGGTAGAAGTCAAACAGAGCATCTCTTTCCTGCCCTCTGTGGTTCAGAGCTGACGCCCCGAGCTCCTCCTTTACTTTAATTTCCAAACATGGATCGGCAAACAACTTGAAAACTCCAGTAACACTTGTATAAAGAACAGATGACCCCGAGGAGGACCACAAGCTGAAACATGTCGCTCTGACAATAAAGTTGCTTTGTACTACAAATGTTGCTGGAGTTTTCACATCGTCAGACTCAAGCGAGCGACTCAACCACAAACATTAAATGTGTCTCCCCTCCGTCTTTCCTCTCAGGCACCCACCAGGTGGTTGTTCAGAGGGATCCGTTTGATGCGGTGGCAGAGCATCTAGCAATGGGGTTACTGGCAGGCATGGCAGCGGGAGCAGCCATGCGATCCTTCCTCTGGATGCCTTTCCTTCTCTGCTGAGATGATCATTGTTACCGACATGACAACACTGCACAAAGGCCCATCTGTCCCCACGGACAGACAACCTGTCATCAGCACCTGTAGAAAGGCTTTTACTTCATCTTTTATATCATCTGTTTTCAAATCATAGCTGCTGTAACAAACAGCTGCTTACGTTTCTTTTTTTTTTCTTGTGTGCAGTTTTGCATATAAAACTAATCCTGAAGAGGATGCTGTGTAATTATGTTCTCTGCTCCTGAACCTTTGCAAAACAGGAAGTCAATTTTGTATCTCAATGTTCTTTTATCTGCTGCTTGAATTTTACACTTTGCGAGCTTAACAAAGTGTGAAGCCTTTAGCAGAGAATAAATGGATGTATTAAAATATAATTAGGGATGGTGATTGTCAGTGTTGCATGTTTGATTGCCCGCAATGATTAGCCATAAACACGCATTTTAAAATACATTTTTCTAGTTTGATGAAACAATCCAAACTCAAGGTACACTAACTAACATTTTCCAGGGCTCTCAACCATATTACATTGTCTTCATCAGCAGGTGGAGCTTGCTCAGTTGTCATGGAGATGGATGTGTGCCATTGAGATTTCATCCATAGCACTTTGAGGACCTTTAGTTCCTATTGGCTTGATAAAAACGAGCTTTCTGTCTGTGGAAGAAGACTGTGTAGCACGCTTGAAATCTCAGGAAAAAGCTAGTCAGTGGACCTTGAGTTGGGATTGTCTTGTCAAACTAAAATTTTCCAGGCCAAAGATAAACTTCGCTTGAGTTTTATGTGAAATCATAAAAATGCTTTGGATCAAAATGGCATATAATGTCGAATGTCAGCAGATTTATCTCAATGACAACTGGGCAAACTCCATATGCCGATAAAGACCATGTGATGGGGTTGAAAAACTATTTCCAACCCACAGAAAAAAAACCTTTCGAATAAATTACATTTTTGTATTTATTTATTATATTTTTGTTTATATCCAAAAAGTCCTAAACAATAATTCTACTCAGTTTACATAAACATAAAAGGGGGAAAGGTGCTTTATTCTCATACTAATGATGCAATCACTTCTACAGACAGAGCGAAGACATGAACTGTGATGAATGTGTAACCAAAAAAGTGTCATCTTACACCATTTGCATCCATGTTCCTCCAGTGTGTAACTGTGCACTGGTTAAAAGTGAAAGGACAGTAAACTAACTAAAGGTGATGTAATTAACAGAAGCATGTTCCAGTTGTCACTGACAATATACTGATAAAAATGCTAAATATAAGATCATCTGTAATTATGGTCTTGTCCTTATGCACAGTGTTAATCTACATGATCAGAACTTGCAAACCAAAGGAACAAGAAACTTCAGTCACTTCTTGAGATACAGAACAGATTTGTATGTCTCATCATATCAAGTTAGTGTCAGCAGGGGATGGCTGCACAAAGTTTGGGTTACTGAGTTACTGGAGCCAAAGTTTATCCCAGAAACTCAACTTTCTTCAACCCCCAAACAGAGCAGCTACAACGAATGCTGGTTTTGAAAATGCTAAACTGCATCAGCTTACCTGTGCATGGGAGGACAGCTTTAAAAGGAAAAATGTCAGTGTTTTTCCACCTGGGTATTTGTCAGTTTGTTGCTCAACAAGTGAATCTTTATGCAGTGAGCTACAACAGCTGAAGCAGGAGGCTAATTTCTGTGTTTGTTTTCAATATGACTCATGGTTTATGTGAAATTCAAGTTTATTTCGTAAGTTATACGAGGCTCGAGCACGTAACAAAGGTGGCGAATGCAAAGTTAGCGTGACCCATTAGTCACTGATACAAGCACTGCAAAATAATGACGACGGCTCTGGATGTCAATCTGTGCTTGCCTGTTTGTATAACTGGTACGTCAGAGGAGGTCGCGTCCCAAAGCTCGCCTCTGATGATGTCAGTCCAGAGGCGCCTTATCCACTAGAATTCAAAATCTCATTTGGCAAGTACACTCTCTCAAATTAGCTGAGAGTGGGTGCAGCACATTGTCTTTACAAAAATAGTGATCGCTTTCAGCAGCTAATTGTAATTTCCCCTAATGTTACTCCTCCTTACATGTGACTCCTCTCTGGGCGTGTCCGTTCACTTGCCCTTTAGCCTTCACTCTGTCATCTCCCAGCTTTCCCTCTGCTTGAAGTTTGCGGATCAGATCGTGGGGACCCTTCCCCATCAGAGCCGACGGGTGCCTGTAGGAGCCTCCCAGGCGGTCCCACAGTGTGAAGTATTGGCCGTAATTGTAGTCGAAGAAGAGGTGGTGGTCGGTGTGGTGAGCCGAGCCGTTGATGACGCTCGTCAGACCGCCGGGGACGCGGTAGTCGCCGTCGTGGATGGAGATGGTCCAGATGTTGACGAAAACGTAGAGGGCCAAGTAGAGCACCTTGTGGAGCGGGAAAAAGAAGGGGTAGATGTGGTACGGGAGTCCCTGCATGAAGCCGTCTACTGGATGAAAGGCATGGCTAGCAAAGGGAGAGGGGATCTTCCACAAGTGGTGTGGTTTGTGAAACAGCTGTTGAGGACGAGAGAGCAAAGAGATCAGAGATTTATTCTAACCATGATTTCATACACTCGGTAACCTGTGCTTGTGAGAGAGACGAGAGTCAGAGTTGTGTCATAACATTTGTTTGTACCAGGTCCTCTCTATTACATATCATTTAAAGTCAAGCACCCACACAACGACCTTGAAGCTGAACAGAAAAAGAAGGAAAGAAGAAAAGAGCGTGTCGGTACAAGCAATAAAGCTTAATATTTATAGTCAATAATTTATATTTAAACTTAGGGTCCTGGAGATAATAGCTCAAATAACACACATAAAATGGTTCATAGCTTGATACTTGATGACTTTAATGAGAATTACTTATAAACGTCGTACAGAAAATAAAACTTAAAAAAATAAAACAACAGATATGTTGAAATTCTGCTCACCTTATAAATAAGCTTATGATGTAGGAAGCGATGAATCCAGTAGATACACATGTCGGTGAAAAACAGGAAGGAGACCATACTCAGGAGGAGCCCGGGCCAACCTGAAATCACACAGGCCGCGTCACCAACAACAACTCGGGTGCCTGGTGACCAGAAGCACCGGAAACATCAGGATTACAGAACAAGTGAAAAACCGGCGACGAGGGTCTTCAACTCACCCAGCGGAGATTCGCCGACGTTGTCGTACAGTTTGCTGTATCCTCTAACTTCAGCGAAGAACAGAGCCACGGTGGGAATGCTGATCCAGGGCAGAGAGGTCATCGCATATTTGATCTCCCTCTGAACCTGGTTCTAAAATATTTAAAATAAAGCAGGGAATAAATAAACATACACAGAGGGATATAAAGGGGTTAAAAGTTAACACCCCTGGTATCCACACTATAAAATCTCATGTGATAATCAGAGCTCAATCTTGATAGTTGTGTGGACATTGCACTTGGCTGTTATTATAATTGCACGCTGTTATTTGATTGGTTCGATTTATCTGTAATCTCAGAGTGTCTTGTTTGCTGCTGTGATATCGTGCTGTTGTATTTACTCCTGTCTCAGTGACGCTTTAGGAAATTACTGAAGCTTTTTATTTATTTATAGATTTACATTTTCAGTAAGAATGAGGGTCACTTAAGGTCTCAGGTGCTTTTTGGGTTGTCTAACAATGTCTAACACCAACTTTCCGTGGGAAAATATAGAGGGTTTGAACTCCACTCGACTTCACTTCACCTTTTGTTTTACAACCGAGTGCAAAACCACAAATGCTTCCAAGGACAGACTGAAAGTGTGCGCAGTTGTTCCCATTTTGTGCGATTCATCACATCCGGAAATTAAAGACACACAAAAAAACACACAGATTTCTTGGAGAGCCAGATGTGTACTATGATGTTTTGCAGGTATTCTTACAAAAGTTTATCATCGCCAACACTCACAGCAGTTTATCACAGCATGAATCATAAATGAGATACAGGCGTTATACCTCTAAGAAGTGCGGGTGTTTCATCAGAGTGTGGTCGAAGATGAAGAAGTAGCTGATGGCCCCCAGGCCCAGGTACAGGATTGCAGCCCCGAGGTTGGTCAGCACCAGCAGGCTGATAATCTGCCGCAGGGCCCATTCCTCAGGCCACGACGCAGGGTAAACATACGGGGTGAGGACGTAGTAGTCGGCAACATTCAGCACAAGATCCATGGTTGAATCTGTGAAGTATAAAACAACATTTACAAGATGTGTAAACAGTTATTAGATGGTTTAAAACACACTGTAAAAAATAGGGTGTTCAAGCAGCAAACTTAAATCCATCACGTTTGCAGTATATACAGTTAATGTTTGGTTATATATCATTAAATATGATTACAGCTATGTTATATTATTATATCATTATAAATAATTCATTAACTGTTTTTTATTACAATACATATATACAAACCTGCTACAGATGCCTTTTACTTTCTCAATTGCCATCAAACTCTTTAGTTCCTTTTTTGTGCCACAAATCAATTTACTGCTTTCCCTTAAAAATCTGTCTTTGTCTCTGACAGACGAGATAAAACTAAGTTTATCTGCCAATTTATTAATAATAAATTGAGGGATTCTTTTTTAGAAAATAAAACATACAATATTCAATAGATATACATGTCATGTATAAGTGCACACTCAAACTTCTCACATATATATTATGCAAATATTGACCTCTTTCTTCATCCAAAGAATTATTATTAAACAGCAGAAGCTGTGACATCTTCTTTTAAAAAAAACTGTGGTGTTTGATCTGACACAAGAAGCCACTGCAGCAATAGACAGCGGGTGCAGGTTAGTGTATTATGTGTTTTATATGTTTTGTGTAGCCTCTCTAAGTTATTGAGCTGCCTGGACCTCTGATCCCTCGAGGGGGTGGCTGGACCCGGACTCCTCTACTTAACAAGTTATCACAATGGATTTGATTTGTTTGTTTCAAATGAAATGACAACAAATTTAACATAAGGTGATTTCGAGGGATTTTGTAATCCACATTAAGTCTTTGCAAACAAATAAAGAAAATGACCGAGATGTCAAATATTTATGTAACTAAGCTGACCTACCGTGACGTGTGGAAACTGCAGGAAAAGGTAAATATTCTGTCGGATTAACAGACACCAAAGGCCGCGTTACAGGGTGAAAACACAGAATACAAGAGCTGCACTGACATATTGTTAATATAAAGTTAAAAAGAGTACTGTACCTTGTGTAGGTTGCTCGTATTCCGGAACAACAGTGGAGGGATGTGCGCTAAACTAAAGGTGGACGAGCAACCAATCAGTAACGAGTTGACTATTACGTCACAGAAGGGGGGTCCAATCAGCGCGCAGCTTCTCATCACGGCAGGTTTGTTATGATTTCCGATTGGCCAATTGGAGGATCTGCTCATGGTGTTACAGAAACAACGCTACCGCGCTTAAAGGTCCTGCCACATCTGGAACAGGAGCTGGTCCGCCTTAAAAAACTCTTATGCAAATCTGGTGTGTGCACATCTGCAACGAGAGCAGATACAGACGGAGCCAAGTGCGCTCCTCTCTCACCCGTTTAAACTCCATTGTACCAAACCTCCTTTACAAAACAACACAATTGAAGTAATATGTGATGTTTAACCAAACTTAGACACCTCGGGAAAGAAAACTTGATAGGTTCCATTAAGCTTTAGGAGCTACTCTTGAATTCGGCATCTTACAACATATCCAACAGTGGGGTTTTTTTTCATTAAAAAGGAAACTTCCGGTCCTGGTTATGGTATATTTGAACCATAAACTTTCCTTATAATCCAACACCGAGATGCCGAACTTCTCCTCAGTCTAAAAACAGTTATATTAAGTCAGGTGAGTTGTGTGTTTTCGCAAATTAGTAATAACAATTTAATTTGCAAGATTTTTGAATGAAGTTTGTGGCGTGTTGTGGGCCAGTAAGACTTGCCAGACTTTGACTTATTATGATTATGTACTGGCTTAATATTGTAAAGTACTGTTGCTCTGCAATAGCAGAACTTTACAGTTAAAACAATTACACAACATTGTTTTACATCGGTGTAATTCTGTTATGATAAAGCACGCATTCTTCCCCTGCCAGTCTTTCACTGCCAGTAATCTTGAGCGGGTATTTTATTTTCCAGTTCTGCTGTCAAAATAAAATATCTTTTGGTTTGGGTTCAATGGCACAGGTGACACATTTAGTTTCTATTCTGCTGTAAGACTGACACCCGGCCACAAGGGGTTGCCATTGTTCTAAGGTAAAAGAGAGTAGCCTCAGCCTTAGTACACTAAACTGTAGGCACTGTAGGAATATACAGGAATATTATCTTGATAATACTGGATATGACATACATTTAGTTAATTATAGACACACTATAAGCTCCTATATTATACCACGGGAATATTACAGCTGAATAAAGGTGATAACCACTTTATACAGTATAAATGGGTTGAAGGTTGATTTGATGAGATAACTTCAGCTCACTTCTATTACAAGGATATTCATTAATGTTCCTCATCATTAACAGAACATATACGCTCTTTTGCTGCCCAGTAGTGCTCAGCAATGCATTTCTTAAGCCACTAAAATAACTACCTTTCAAATTATTATGCTTTGAGGTGATTTACTTATTGTTTAGAGAATGGCTCCTGTTCACTTGTTCTTTTCTTCTTCTTTATTCAGTTGTTTTTTCCCCCTCTCTTTTCATTCACTACTTTTAAATAGAAGCCATTGTCAATTTTCTCACTGATCAATTTTCATTATGATGTTAATATTCTTCTCCCCTTACCACAGCCCTTAAATTGTCACAAAGTGCCTTCAATGAATTTTAAGCCCTGTAAATAAAACAGAAAAAGTTGTGATCTTCTATTCACTTTCTGAAGATGTATCCTGGTTTAGAGATTGGGGAACATCAGAAGCAACAATTTTAAAGAAGCACCTTTAGACATTGGTGCAGTTTTATGTTCGTCGGCCATTATTGGATGGAAGTCAGGGCGAACAGTAGATACCAGAACTTACAGCTCAAAAGGTGATGAAAAATACTTTGTTGGTGTTGATGATCTCCAATTTAACAGACTAGAATAACAAGAAAAACAAAACATTATAATAATATTTCAAGCTATTTTTCTACCTGAACGGTGGGTCAAGGTAGAGAAATAGTGGTGGGTGTCATTTTAACCAGGTGTCAAGCCACGTTGATACTTTTGGTTTAATGTGCTGAGGTTTCGAGATATCCGCCTTTGAGAACGATATACTGCCACCACAGTAACATGAAAGAGAATCCAGATCAGTTAGTGCTGCTGCAAACATCACACGGACGTCATCCAGCTCCAGTGTGCCAGCCTGAGTGGAGTTTGGAGAGTTTACAGGGTAGTGTATTCTCAGACTCACTGTCTCCAAGCAGAAAACACAAGGTATGTTAATGTTAGGGTCGCCAAAGGTACCGTAGCAGAAAACAACAGGTAGTTTCCACCATCTTCCACAACAGTTCAGAGACTTTCACTCCATGTTAAATATGGGCCATTTTTCTAAATTGCTGCACTAAATTAAAAGGTTTTAGGGTATAGTCACATGCAGGTACATACAGTTGAGACATGTTTGCTCGCTGTAGATTTCCCTCCATTAGTATGACATACAGCGCAGCTGCTGCCCTTTTAGCATCACACTCTCCTCCGCCGCTCTGCTCACGATGCTGGGAGGACAGCAGATGGCTACACTTTGTGTTTACTGATACAAAGCTGATAGGCCGTCTTATCGTAAATCACATCATACACACGACTCGTTCTGTTCAAGCATATGTCTAACATTTGGTTTCTTAGTGTGTCAAGTTAAAAAGTGATTTAATGATCACATATGTAAAAATTTCTTCGCTATGAAATTTTATCTGTGCAAATAAAATGTAAAACTAGAGAAATCTATTACATGCTGCAAACAAAGAAAAAAAAAAGCAACAGTTGCATTATGTGTCCAAACCCAGTGCAATCAACCTTAATGCATTTTATTAGAAATATGTAAAGTACACCAGTCAATGATGAAATCATATGTAATAAGATGCTTGTGTTTTACAGTAGGCGTCGCCTGCTCGGGCTGATTTCATCGATACGGTTTTATTCACACACTGAATACAAAAGTTGTAAAATAACCTGTTGGTATGAGTAAAGAAACTGTTTGTTTTTTAACAGAGAATTTGTTTGTGCAAGCTTGACTAATAGAGCTGGAGCTACGTTACAGGCTGTGAAGGCGCCTCCCTCTGTGTGCAGACACACATGAACCAATCAGGATATCTATAGAGAGGCAACCCACACGCTGAGCCCCAGATAACCTGCTGCTCATCATCTCCTCAGTAGGCAACGACCGTGGATGTGTCACTTTGGGAAATGTAATCAAAAACTGGAGAAACTTGTCGCGAGACACAGCGACTGTTCCAACTTTTTAAACCGTCATATATTTGATTATCTTGTCACCGAGTTGATGCGACTAAGAATGAATAATGTGAACTTTCTGATTCACACTTTTCCACTACAGTGTTATCGCAGCCAGGTGAATTGATGGCCAGTTTTACGAACATAACACTTAAAGCTTATTGATGGTGTTGTACATGCACACCTGGACAACTGACATCCACATATTTCATATTGACACATTAGAGCCACACTTTCCCAGCAACACCACTGAGTATGAAGATCCAGGCCGACGCACACACACACACACACACACACACGCACACACACGCATACGCATGCAAATCACACTGTTCACATTTCATTGACAAAAATTGGAAGGCTTGTTAACAAGATGATACATAATCCTGCATTCATTGACGAAATTGGGCAGGATCTCGGTCATGCTGGTCAAAAGATCGGTCGGATCCGAGTAACCTGCATATAAACCAGCCAACCAGCCATGAAAACCACTTCACCTCCTCTTTGGATTTGAATGGTGCAGGCCACAGCTGCTGCTGTTTAGTCTGTTTGGGGCTGGGGCTGCATCTGCTCATAAATAACACAGTCTCATAAAATTTCATGAAATGAGAATTAATTCCGAAATGCAGATTATGTTGTATGAATACTGCAAACATAATCTTTCTCCACCATGAATGGATTTATGTGAAGCAACAATCTGAAGGCCCGTTTTCTGGTGAGATGTTCAGGTAACACTTTATAATAGTAGATACTACAACTTTAATTTAAAGCTGCATTAAGGCTGTAGCCTCCGTGAGGTCACCCGTAGGTTTCTGAAGAGCGGTACTGAAGCTCAGAGTGGGCTGCTCCACCCTCACCCACCAGTCACTCAGCGTGCCACGCCCTCAATTATAAATAACTTCAAGCCTTAATAAAATTTAAATGGGTGAGTTATATATAAATTCCCCCCCTGTACAGTTGTCATGAAGAAGGAAATTAGCTATAGTGACCAAAACTGTTGCTTGCACCAGGCTGTAAACATGTTGATTTCTGCTGTAAAGATGGGCATTTTAACATGGGAGTCTATGGGGATTGAGCCTCAAGTGGCCATTCAAGGAACTGCAGTTTTTAGCAGTTCCACGTTGGCTTCATCCCTCAGCCCCAGAGGTTTCTGCTTGGTCTTCATATTTTATAACCCCCTTCTCTAGCTCTTATGACTAACACATCAGCAAACAATGACCTTGTTATACATCCGGCAGACTCAGAGGAACAGACTAATCTTTAACATTGAATCTTCTAGATGAACCGAGTGTACTGAAGCATTATTGTCACTGACCCAGTCAGTATAGCTTTGTGAATTGGAGCTCCCCTGACTCAGCAGAAACACACAGCACGTTGCTGCTCCCTGCTTAAAAGCTAACTAAAAGGACTGCAGAGCTGCTGCAGAGAGGTGGCCGGTGAGGAGCGGATAACCTCATGAACAGCTTGTGTTGAACTGGTTGAACTCAACAGAACAAAAGAAAAAAAAAAGAAATATGTAATTTCTACCTCTAACCGCAGCCCCCTCTGTCCATCTGTTGACTGCTGATTCAATACTCAGTGGTGCTTTAGCTTTGGACTTGAGTCAGACCTGACTCAACAATCTAATAGCTAATAGACCTGCCAAATCACAAAAGCAACCCCACACTTACACTCGTGACTTTACTTGGATTTAAGTTGGATTTTAGTGTCATAAAGTTTATTTCATGATAATAAATAAATCTTTATGTCTTTAAATGAACTATTTCAACCACAGAGCACATAATGACTTATTTACGACTCGAAACACTTGGTCACCAAAACTTGGACTCACTTCCCATCTCATCTTCCCTTCTCCATCTTCCTGCCTCCTTTCAAGAGTCCC